TATTTACTAACTTCTAAAGTCTGTCATCTAATTAGAATTCAGCTTTGTTTAAATTTCAATGTTTAAAATCTTAACTCATTTATTTTGAGGAAACTTGCAAGCTGAAATTCTTTTTAAGAAAGTGCTGTTAGTTTAATGATAATACGTGATGTTTTACTTTATTGTAAATTATTGTCATTTATAGAATATGTTAATATTTTAAACGTGGGGTGACTGTAATGGGGGAACTCTACATTTCTAGAAATTTTTGGATTGTTATTTATCAGTCTTATCTTAATGTTCTGACCTCACTGGCTGCAACAACATACAGTCAATAACCTTAAAAAAAAATTGCAACTGAGAGGAAGGGGAAATGGGGAGTCAGCATTCAATGGCTACAGCACTTGAGCTTTGAAAGGTGCAAAATTTCTGGAGATCAGTCACACGACAAAGTGAGTATTGTTAACACTACTCAACTGTATACTGAAGTGTGCTTAAGTTGGTAAAATTTTCAGTGGTTTTCTTTTTGGAAAAATTGACAATACTGAATTATTATACCAAAGAAGTAAACAAATTGATTAAAGGATGGGGAAAAAAATTGAATGACATTTCTCAAAGATACATACAAATGGCCAATAAGTACATGAAAAAAGACGCTCAACACCACAAATCATTAGGCACAAGTATTTTACAAAATGTAGTTTCAAGTAGTTATTTGGTGCCTTCCTCTCATGAAAGATATTCATATAAACAACATATTAAAAATTTAGGGTGCGGTCGCTCACGCCTCTAATCCCAGCACTTTGGGAGGCTGAGGCAGGACTGCTTGAGCTCAGGGGTTACTAGGGATACTAGCCTGAGCAAGGATACCCCATCTCTACAAAAAACAGAAAAAATTAGCTGGGCGTGGTGGTATGCCCCTGTAGTCCCAGCTACTCTGGAGGCTGAGGCAGGAGGACCACGTTGTGAGCCCAGGAGTTTGGGGTTGCAGTGAGCAATGATGATGCCACTGCACTCTAGGCCGGGTGACAGAGTGAGACTCTGTCTCAAAAAATAAATACATACAACCACATATTAATATGGATAAATGATAATTAAAATACTACAGCTATTTCAAATCTAGTATGAGGGACACACAGTTGATAAGTTTGCATTTTGGAATGTGGGGAGGGAAACAAAATTTAGGAATTTATTGTGAGCCCTAGGAAGAACTAGGCTGGGGGTCTCAAGGTCTCCCTCCTTGACCAAACATAAGTCAGGCTCCTCAGAACCCTCTTCGGGACTAGGCTGTGGCTTTGTCATGCACAGCAGTTATAGCAAGAATCCTTCCAGGGCAGTTTAGAAAGAATCCCGCCCACCCCACCACCACCACCACACACACACACCCACACACTTGATATCAGATCAAGTTCCTCTTTCTCCACTGGTGATAGTTAATCAACTTGCTTTTGCCTCACCCTTGATACCTAAGCAAGTTCCATCCTCTCCCTCACCTTGCCCGTTGGCTGTAGTTCAATTGCTGCATTCGAGGTTTAGTTGAATCTCTCTCCCCATTACAGTTATTGGAGGAGTGCAACTGTGTTGAATAAAGCCTTCCTTGACCAAGCTTTCCAAGCAATCCCTTCTTAGAAAGGATAGAGGATTAGACCTTAGACCTTGCTTCACACGTATGGAATGCACAGGGGAAAACAGGCTCCCACCCCATGGGGAGGGAGGAGGAGCTGGGGTCCACGCAGGCAATGCTGCTGGGCCCACCCAAGCCTGACTGCACGAAGGGGGACGGTATCCTGAGAGTCCCACCCAACCACAAACCCAAAACACCAGGTCAGATTTCTCTCCTGATGTTCTCATTCCATAAGGTGGGTGAGACGCAAAACTGCTGGTGTGCAGCTGCCCAGAGAGGGTTTCAGGGAGGGTAGAGTCTCTTCCTGCAGTGATGGGGCAGCATGCCTCGGAGAACTGCCTGTTAATTCACCCCTATGAAAGAAACATTTTCCTTATTTCTTTTCCCCAGCAGCATTTCCAAAGCTAAGCCCTGGTATTCCATCAGAATTCACCCACCAAAAAAGGACAGACCTGAGAAACATACTATACCGGCTCTTGAGAAGAGAAAATGTAAGTAAGAAATTTTAACAACTGGAATGTAAGACTAGATCTTGAAGCCAGGCGCAGTGGCTCACGCCTGTAATCCTAGCACTCTGGGAGGCTGAGGCAGCAGGATTGCTCAGGGTCAGGAGTTCAAGACCAGCCCGAGCAAGAGCAAGACCCCGTCTCTACTAAAAATAGAAAGAAATTAGCTGGACAACTAAAAAAATATATAAAGAAAAAATTAGCCAGGCATGGTGGCACATGCCTGTAGTCCCAGCTACTCGGGAGGCTGAGGCAGAAGGATTGCTTGAGCCCAGGAGTTTGAGGTTGCTGTGAGCTAGGCTGATGCCACAGCACTCTAGCCTGGGCAACAGAGCTGGACTCTTGTCTCGGAAAAACAAAAAGACTAGATCTTGATTTTACCCCTCCCCCCCCTCCCCCCCGGCAAAATATCTACCTCTTTCTGGCCTCTTTGCAAAATTTTCTTCTCTTTCAAGCTGTAGTGAAAAATGCATTTTCCAATTGATAAACTGAAGCTGCAATAAGTGGACAATTCTTTATGAGGGGACAAACTCACAGACGGGCAGTGCCGACTGGAACACAGACATGTCTGACTCAAGTGTGAGGTCAGGTCACACTATAATGCCGGACATCCCTCCATCCTCGTCCTGCTAACTGAAGTGTTCAAGCACCATTTCCCACCAACACTGCATTGCACCCCACGTGTGCCCCTCCCCCACCCCTCGTGCTGTCCTCTGGGGGAGGAGTGACTCAGAGGCTGATATTCACTAGACCCTCCAAGAGACCTGGCAGCTGTGGGCATCTTGGGTCAGCCCCGGGCAGGTCTGAAACCCAGGACCAGGAAAAGATAGACAATGCGCTGATGACAGACCATCAACCTGAAAAGTTTCAAATGGGGAAACTCAACCAAAGACATTCTGATAAGGTGTCTGTGCCTAGGAAAGATAAAAGGAGGCAGGAAGTTTTTTCCTTTTAATTTTTTTTTTTACTTAAACAGGGATGTCAGGTGGTTATTCCCTACTTTGCTGATGTGAAATGTTCACAAACAGGAAACAAATGTTTTAAAGTGCCATCCATTGCTCTGTGAAAAAATGATAAACAAAATACTACATCTATTTGAAACAAAGGACAAATTATGTATTACACAATAAAGAGAAATAATAGATTATACAATAAAAAACAAAAGAGTTGATAATATTGTGAGTTGGAGAGGGAAAGTTGGTATTTGGGAATGTGGGGAAAGAACTGGAAATTTAGGAACTTACTGCAGGCCCTAGAAGAGAGATACGTGGGGGAAAGAGGGTCCACGATTTGAGACCTTCCCATTTATTTGGAAAATGCAGGAAAAACCAGTCCACCTGGAGGGAGTTAAACATTTAAATAGGAAACATACTGAACTGGCTGTATAGTGAACTAAGGTTCTAACCGACCATATGGGAAGCTAACTCAAATGCAACTGTTGTAAAGTACCATTTTAAAGACAAATGAAATACAGGCTTAAGCAACCAATAACTGACCTTTAATTACATATCCAGAAATTTTCCACCTGCATAGTCTGTGAAAAATCAGTAAATCAAAATCTACTGAGCCTTAAAGCAATGTGATTTGGGGGCCTGAGTCACGTTACAGGCAGCTGCAACCTTTGTTTTTCTGATTAGCGATTAGCCTTTTCCTGAACTACATTGTTTGGTGAAATGTAAGTGACTACAGCGGGTCAGAAAAGAACAATAGCCTCTTCACCATAGATTAAGATCTCTCTTACCTTTCTCACGCAAAAATGTAATGGTTATCACACTGTCCTAAGATGGAATCTTAAATACTCTTTTAAATTGGAAAGGAAGTAAAAACTGGCAAACCAGCCTTGTATGGAAAATGTTATAAATTGTTGAATTCTGTGGTTTCTGCCTATATAAGCAAAAACATAATTTCTTAACTTCAGAGCACTGAGCCCATTTCTCTGGAGTCCGTGTTTTCCTCAAAGGCCATTTCTGGTATTTAGCTTCCATAAACTCTCTAAAAGTGGAATCTGATCCCTTCGATGATCAGGTTGACGAGTCCAAATAAGGCGACTACATAACTGTAAACAAGTAAGTATTTAATCTGGGTTGGCTCCCCACGCACCTTACAAAAGCCTTTCCTTCAACCATAACCACAAATGTTTCTCATTTAACAATGGCTGTTTAGGCCGGGCACAGTGACTCACACCTGTAAGCCTAGCACGCTGGCAGGCTGAGGCAGGAGGATCGCTGGAGCTCAGGAGTTCGAGACCAGGCTGAGCAAGAGCGAGACCCCGTCTCTACTAAAAACAGAAAAATTAGCAGGGTGTAGTGTCGCACGCCTGTAGTCCCAGCTACCCGGGAGGCTGAGGCAGGAGGATCGCTTGAGCCCAGGAGTTAGGCTGCAAGGAGCCATGATGACGTCATTGCACTCCACAGAGATCAATAGAGTATGACGCTGTCTCAAAAAAAAAAAAAACAAAAACAAAAAAAAACATCGCTTTGCCCAAATAAACGTTTGTATTTTTAAAACCACCGCAGGTTAATTTTTAACACGAGAAGGAAGGGCTGGGGTCCCAACAGGCCGCAGCCCCGCCCACGCACGACCCCCACACACCGAATCGGGAACCTCCCCCCGACGACCCTCCCGCAGTCACCGCACAATCTGGGGACACGCGGGGCTGCAGCCGCCGAGCTGCCCAGACAGGACTCCTGGGGCGGGACCGAGGTCGCCACGCAGGGACGGCACAGGACGCCCGGGAGCCCGACTGCCGGCCCAGCCCCACCCCGCTGGCGGAAGGGACCGAAGAAACCGGAGCGGACCGCCGGGTACCCGGGTCAAGCCACAGCCGGTTCCGGCCGGTTCCAACCAGCCCCTGCTCCGCGTCTGGGGACGTCGGGCCCCCCCCCACTCACCATTTCCCGCCTTCCAAGGTGTCCGGCGTCCTCGCTACTGCGCTCGAGACCGGTGTAGTTCACCGCGTAGGTGACGGCGCCACAGAAGCTGTGGCGGAGGCACCAAAGCCTACTGGAGCAGAAAAGGCCGACTGAGACCAAGGCCCGCGCGACTCAGACGGGAGAGAAGAGAGGTTAAAGGTCGCTTCCTCTTTCCCGCGGCGCGTTTAGAGGGCCAGTGCGCAGGCCCCGTCCGGCGACTCAGATTGGATATTGTTCCAGACCCCGCCCCCCGAGGCTGAGTGACAGGTGAAGCCTAAGGAAATGCGGACTTGCGGAGCCCCACCTGGCGGCTTCCATCCACAGCGTCTCTCAGGCCCAGCTCCCTGTGCCCTGATCATGGGATTTTCCATTTCAGGCCAACTTGCTCCCCATTTGCCAGAGGGGGCGCTGTCCTCTCCCTCACACGACAGGCTGTGCTTCTTCCTCTTGGATCCAGTCACGATTGTGCGCGGGGAATTCCAGACTCCGTGTCCAGTGCAGCGATCCGGTTGCCTCAGAGCGGGAGGGGAGCCCAGACCCGCCCAGGCCACAGTGGAACAGGACAGAGGGCCTCATGTCCTCCTGGGTCCGGAATTTGGGATAAAGCGTGACAGGGCTTCCTCACATGCCCCTCTGTCCCCTGCTAACAGTGTGGAAACGCTCCCTCCAAATCCTTCGTTTTCACCCACAGGAAACTCACCCAGAGTCAGTTTAAGCTTCTGACCTTAATAAACTGTCCAATTCACAAACCATTTCTCCAGGAGACACCCCCAAACAAGTCTTTTTCTAAGCCCGACCTTCACGGATCTTCTTAATATTTAGAAATTACAGGCCAGGTGCGGTGGCTCAGGCCTGTAATCTTAGCACTCTGGGAAGCTGAGGCGGCAGACTCGCTTGAGGGAGTTCGAGACCAGCCTCACCACGAGCAAGACACCGTCTCTACAAAAAAAAAAAGAAAAGAAAAAATTAGCCGGGTGTGGTGGCATGTACCTGCAGTTCCAGCTGCTCCGGAGGGCGAGGCAGGAGGACCGCTTGAGCCCAGGAGTTTGAGGTTGCTGAGAGCTATGATGACGCCGCTGCACTCTGAGGGAGGCGGGGGCGACAGAGTCAGACAAGAAAGAAAGAAAGAGGGAAAGAGAGAGAGAGAGAGGGAGGGAGGGAGGAAGGAAGGAAGGAAGGAAGGAAGGAAAGAAGGAAAAAAGGAAAGAAAGAAAGAAAGAAAGAAAGAAAGAAAGAAAGAAAAATTACAGCATGACTGCAGCTACTGTATACATATCAAAACCAAAACATTGGTCAGAAAACAGCCTCTGCCTCCTGATGTCCAACCTTAGAAACACGAAAGCCCCCAAACGCATTTGCACGTGGGTTCCCTGCTGTCCAGGGCTCTGGGACTTCTTAGAGTCCACGCTCCTGCTGTGTCTGTCCTGAGCAGCTGGAGGTTCAGGAGAGAGGCCAGGCTGCAGGGGAAGCCGGAGGGGAGCCTCATGTCCCTCCCTTTGCAGGTTCCAGACAGGCCTTAGCTTGGAGCCACTGGCCTCAGGCTCTGCTGCCCGCTGCAGGTGTTCACCTGCTTCTCACCAACACTGATCAGTGAAATGGGACAAAGACCCGCAATCCCAGTGTTAGAATAAGACACCAGCAGGGCCCTGCTTTCCTCCTGCGTTTATGAACAAAGTGGAGGAAGACGATTCTAAGATAATTTAAACGGATTAAAAAGATTTAAAAATTTTAAAAAAGACATCCAGATCGTAGCGGCGTCTGAGGGACCTAGGGTAGGACATAGCTGGGGTCGAGGGGGCTGCAGGGAGGGGACGCAGAGCCCAATGGGGTCAGGGGAGGGCTCAGGGGAACAGATGGTGGCCTGAGCCCCGCCGCAGAACCAGCTCTACCCGGGACCCTGGGCCGGCGCAGGTGGAGACTCCTGGCGGTGAGTCCCGAGCTCTGCGTGCACATGGGGCTGGGGAGGAGTGAGGCTGAGGTCTCACGTCTGCGTGGGGTGCGGGGCTATTCACTTGGCTCCCTCTGGGTTTCTGATCAGCCCTGCGGGACGCCTAAGATTAGAACTCTCACTCTTCTAACGGGATCATTATTTACCTCGTAATTCAGTGTTCACTTAAATACTATGTAAAAACTGTGGATAAAAGTGTGAGGGTGGAAAGCTTAGTACGTGCTCCCCGCGCGGTTGGAGAAAGATTTCTCACGCAGAGATGCGAATATATAAAAGTGAAATTGATTTTATCCTTTTAGAAGGAGAAAGAGAAAGAGAGCATGGAGATGGCGTGGCATCCCAAAGAAAGAAAAGGGAGTGCCAGTGGTGAAGGCAAGTGGCTTTCTCATTTTAAGGGGGACAAAGAGAAAAAAAATAGTGATGGCTTTCAGTTGATAACAAAAGTGACAGCAGGATGGCAATGTCGAAGAGTCGGTTTCCTGCCTTTTCTTGGAGAAGGGATTATCATGTGAATCTTTCCTCCAGATATAACTGTCGCCTGGAGCTCGCACCCCGCTGTTCCCTCAGGAACTCTTTAGGCTGTAAAAAGCAGATTCTTAAAAAACCAATTTTGAAAGAGAGATTTCCATTGCTATTCCTTCTTTTCAGAAGTTCTGCAAAACAGAACTCCTGCAGTGTTCCTGAGTGAGAGAACTGTTAGTGAGAGAACTCCTAGGATTTATCTTTCACTGTTACTGGGGAAATTGTGGGATTAGGTATTTTCCCATTATTTTTGCAAGGCTGCCCCTTTCAAAAAGTACTAATGTTTTTGTCATGTAATCTGTAGGTCCCCAGCCTGGCACTCTTGAGTACTTGCAAACAATTACGAATTGGTTTCATTCCTCCCATCCTGAGCTTGATCCCAACTATCCACATTGTCATCAGGATGGGTCATGAGCCATCTCCCACCTTGTTTGTCCACACCTCCACACTGAAGAGTAATCAAGGCCAGGGGGTCTGAAACTGTCCCTATAAAATCAACTGAATCGAAGCAGTTAAAACTTTGCTGGAGGTAAAGCTCCACAAGGTAAGCACTGACCAGCTTCTGCCCCTAGCTCCCTTCCCTATAATTGCTTACTGCTTAGCAGTTTGCTCACATGATTTACAACTTCCCTTAATCACCTTTGTAGGTAACACCTCTATTGTAAAACCTGAGACTGCCTTTTAAGAGGTTTCCCAGACCCTGCATTCCTATGGGCTCTGGGACACAGACCAGATCAGTGACCCCTACCTTGGAACTGACTCAGCAGCTCCTACGACCCCCATGGAAGAGCTGACTCAGTGCAAGAATGCAGTGTCTACAAGCCTGATTTCACCCTGAACCCGAACAATCAGCAATGCCAATTCCCTAAACCCCCTGCTGGCCCAACTACCCTTAAAACCCCCAGCCCAGAGCTTCTCAAGAGGCAGATTTGAGAAATGTCGCCCCCTCTGCATTCAGCTGCCAAACAGATAAATAAACTCCTTCTCTGCTGAATTGCTGCTGTCTGGGTGCATTGCCTCTTTTTCTGTGCAATAGGCAAAAAGAACCTGATTGGGTGATAAAACTGACTTGAAACACCATATTTAAGTCTTTCTATGGCGATGGGACATTCATGCAATTATTTTTGTTTGCTTAGGAATACCGCTAAAAACCTGTGCAGGGTTAAGATAAGGAATCAAGGACCAAGTATCTTTCTAACGGTGACTTCCTCCTTAATAATCATTGCACAATAAAAAAGCCACGGAATTTGCCTAACTGGAAAGCACTG